CGCCCCTCGGTCGTCTGCTCCCGCTTCCACCCGCCGAGGCGCGCTGTCCTTTGCCCGGCGTTTTCTGTTTCCCCTCCTTTCTGGACGTTGTTGCGGGATTCACATTTCTGAGGCTGTTTCTTTGCCGAGGCAGCCCGTCTTCGAAAATCAGGTGCAAAAGTAGCTCGGGAGTGGTTACCTTCGTAGTGGGCTTGTCAGAGGTATTTGGCTTGGGGCCGGGTTGCTTATGGGGCCCTCCCTCCCGTCCTGTTCCATCGGGCAGGAAAGGCCGCTCCGGGTCCCTGCGTGAGATGGGACCCCAGGACCCTTCTCTACCGTGGCTCCCGCCCTGTGGAAGGAACATCACCCCCCGAGATTCAGTTTGTCCCAACCCCGCTGACCTTTTGCAAGAATCAAAAACTTGGTTATGCCATCCAGCCTGGGGCACCGATAGTGTGGGTGAGCCCATTTTTTGGCTATATTGATTGTGGAATGCTGTAAGTCTTGGGTTTTTTTAATGCTATTTATGTTTATAATTATCGGTTGTTTTTATCCTGTTTTAACTACAGGTAGTCCTTGACTTATAATCACAATTGAGACTGGAACTTCCATCACTAAGTGATGCGGTCATTAAATGAGTTGTACTGACTTATGACCTTTTTTGCCATGGTCGTTAAGTGAATCACACAGTTCCCCATTGATTTTGCTTGTCAGAAGCCGGCTGGGAAGGTCATAAATGGCAATCATGTGTTTCCGGGATGCTGCAACTGTCATAAATACGTGCCGGTTGCCAAGTGCCCAAATTTTGATCATGTGACCACAGGGACACCGCGATGGTCAAAAATGCGAGGACTGGCCATAAGTCACTTTTTTCAATGCCGTCATAACTTTGAATGGTTGTTAATCTAATGGTCGTAAGTCAAGGGCTATCTGTATCAACCACCCAGTCATATATATGAGATGGACAGCCATGTAAATGTAATAAAAACAAAATAAATAAGTTTGACTAACCAATGTCAGAAATGTTGAACTAGGGTGGTCTTTGGCCCAAACTAGCCAAGAGTATCTTTTAAAAAGTGTAATCCAAAATCTAAAGATATTTACTGGGTGGAAGAAAATTAAGTATCAGTACACTGAAGGCAGATGGGAAAACCACAGCCTTGATGTTCTGTCCCTTAACGGTCAATATGATGTCTCTGCACTTTGGTATTTTAGCTAGGCATTAAAATTAAGACAATTAATACATCAGCATAGAGAAGAAGTCAGTAGCAGAAGGGTAGTGGAACAGAATCTGGAGGAAGTAGAACCAAAAGAAGATCAACCAGTATCGAGAGAGAGAAAGGGGGGAAATTAGAAAGCAAGTGATGGTTGGTTTCCAATAATATTTTAATGTGCTCTCTGCACCTTATTAACAAAGGTTATGCGGCGCTGATTAAGGCTTCAGTTCTGATTTACCAGCCTGCCAACAAATCAGCCTGCTGGATTCATTTTTACTGAATTTGGGTTCTATACTTCCCTCTGATTTGCAGTCTTTTGGGGATTGTGTGTGGCTATCCAGATTATAGAGCTCACGGATATACCCTGCTCGCACAAAGAGAAGGGGGAGTCTTGAAAAGGGATGTCTGAAAGTGACCAGGGTAGACTGTTGCTTAAAGGAATCATGGATGAATCCGACTGAAGTGTTCAGGTGAAGGTAAGATAAAAGTGTTTTGATGTAAACTCATAAGACTAGATTGCTTTGAAGTACCAGGTCGGTCTTATTCTTGTTGAAACAAGAACTTCATACTAGTTGAATTCTTGGTCTCAATCAGTAAGCCTCGGTGCTCTTCAAAATTTGAACAAGATATGCAGTTGTTACCCCAAACTTGTGGCCCACATATTCTCAGGTTTCCCAACTCCCTTGAATGCTTCAAAATGCCCCTTCCCAGGTTTCTCCCCGCCTGGGCTGAGTTGCTGTTGATGAAATAAGCTTCAAGCAACTTCCATCTCTTGATTGTTTATGCCATTTCTCTCTCCCGTTCCTTGCCCAGCCTCCCCCAATCTCTCACAGTTATAATTAAGCAGCAGTTACAATCACAGTTACCCACAAATTCAGGATGGTCCCTCTTGGGCTAAAGCTGCTTCCACTGTTTCTAGTTTAGTATAATTTTTGGAAACAGAGTGGATTCCTTAGGGCCTTTTGGTGTGGAAGCTCTGAAATCCGCTTGGAGAAGCATCAGACTACGGATTTCATCTCTAATTTGCATCATCCTCAACAATCCTAATTGAAACGCTCTCTTATCAGGATCCCTCACCTCCTCTTTCAGTTGGATTAAAATTTAGCTCAACAAGTAAACAGCCTGTTGTTTTTTCAGCTCCTTCCCTTGTCTTAAATGTTCCCTATCAGAATGGCAAACCCGGCTTAGATAGTGTAGGAGGACTAGACCTGCCCCCATCGTCTTTTCCCCACCTGTGTTGGGGCTGCCTCTTGGCATTGAGAGTCTGTCCAAGATTGAAGGATGCAGATAGACACACTTGCCTGCCCCATCCCTCTCTGTGTAGTTGTGATTGCAATGAGAAATAATTTGCTTGAAGATTTCCAGTGTGACATTCTGGAAGGAGAAGACAAAAAAGGCTGTGCCTTGGGTTCGATCAAGCAATTTCTCTGAATGGTTAGTTCCAAGATCTCACAATTTCAGAAGCCCAGACGTTCCTCCGCTTCCCCCGAATCTGTCATCTTCACAGCCAGGGATACACAGCTTCCATTGGCTTGAGGGCCACACCAGGCTTGGCATGGCTTGTTGAGGGCCACCTTTTTGGGAGACAATTTCAGTAGTTTCAAGGGTTGAAAGCATCTTTTTAAGCAACTGCTGGGGAGAAAAATACCAGTTTGCTCTTCAACCCCCCCTAAATCTTCCCAAATGCAAAAAATGAAAAGCACCCCAGTCCTGCGTTCAGGAGAGGCTCCGTGGTCCCCGAAGGGATGCTGGTGGGCCACACCCTAGCCTCTCTTAACTGGCCATTAACCCTGCTAGTTAGCAAGCATGTAGATCAACACTGCTGCAAGGGGTTGGTTGAGGTGGGCTGGGCAGAAATGGAAAGATGATCTTCCTTGGTCTCAACTCCAAGCCTTGACCCTGTAAGGGGAGCGGCGAGGCTCTTGGATTTTTCCAGCAGGACGTGCAGTTTAGGACCTTTCCAGATAAGATGGTCTTTATCTTGATAGCCTTCCTTTGCGAACAGCCCAGGCTAAGCTGCCCTCTGATCCCTTCCCCCTCCATGAAGGTGACCAAGCCCAAGATGATCATCACCTTTTAGGCTTTTACAAATAAGATCATCTTCGTGCCGAGGCTGTGTGAGATCCCGCGCATCTCTTCTTGTTTTCCACCCTAGGTACAAAACAACCCTCTCCTTGCGACCTTTCAGCTGACATGGCTGCTCCTCGGTTGAGAATACGGCCAGGACTGGCCATCTGCGAGCTCCTGCGGGCTTTGCTGGCTCCCGCGTGCAACCTTCGGTATTGCTTCGGGGGGTGTCGCCGAGGTTCCCTTAATCATGCCTCCAAATTGGATCAGAATTACTGTTTTCATGTTGCAGATGGGAAGAATAAGAGAGAAGGAATGAAATCCATGTTATCACTCTATTACTAACAGCCTGTGTAAGACCGCCTAATGCATTTACTGCAGTGCTTAGATAAACTGGAGTCCTTCTAAGCTGTCAGCCTGTTTTGGCCATGACAGGGACTAGTCCTCACTGTTTTCAGTGGCTTTTTCCTCTCCCAGGATACCTTAGTAGAGTATATTTTCCCTGGTCGTTTTCTCGTCGTCTTTATCCCCCCTGTTCCCTGAAAATACCTATTTTAGGAAACATTTAATTTTGTTCGGGATCCTAGCCCCATCACTCACTTGGCTGACATCCTTCATTCCTCTCACCTCCCGTACAAGAAGATATAACTATTTGGCACCTCGTGGCAGAAAATGAACTAGGGGTGCATCGACACATCTTAGCAATCAACTGCGATTCAGCTTGGCCTCTCTCTCCCTTTTAAATGGTATTTTTGCAAGAGTAAAAAAAATGTGAAGTTGAAAATAAAAGTAGCATAAGACCCAACCAGGATTTTATTTAGACTTAAATGTATATAGGTCATCCTCGTTAAGCAAACACAAGTGGGACCTGCCACTCAGTGGTTAAGCAAAGCGGTCGCTAAGCGAAACCGCAATGGTGCTTAGGATCTTCCTTCAGCTTTCCTTGGCTTTACAGACCTGTGAAGGTCGTAAATGCAAGGACTGGTCGCGAAGTGACTTTTCCCTCACTGTCATAACTGCGAATGGTCACTAAACAAGGCAGTCACTAAACGAGGACTGCCTATATATACAGACACTCTCATATGTACAAATAAAATCATGAGATCAAATATTTTAAACTGCCATACTCATTATATGTCTCTTGGTAAACATTTATGTTGATGATAACGCATGGCTGGATTTGTCTTTGTTTTAGAGTTTTTCCAAAGCTGTTTCTTGTGTTCTTTTCTCTCCTTGAAAACTGCAAGAGATCTTTGCTGGAAGGAGAGTGAAAGGGAGGTTCAGTCCTGCAATGTAATTCCAGCGATTCTCAGCTAGACACTCCCAGGCAGTTCACGAACAGAACATAAATGCTGCTGTTCTCACTGCTGTTTTGCTGTCCCTAACAACTAGGCTTTGTAGAAATGGTCCCCCTGAACCTGCGGGATCCTTTCCGGCACCGTGGCTAATCTCCACTGGTAATCCGGCTGGGGGAAGAGGTCATCTTAAGGTTTGAGCCAGATGCCACCAGCAGGTGGATGATGTCAAGCTGGCAATCCTAGGGAGAGTGCAAGATCCTTCAGCCCGGCTGGTCGCTGTAGGAGATTTCAGCCCAGGTAGTGCAGTGGTTTAGCTGTTGGACTGGCAGCAGGGAGACCTGGGTTTGAATCCAGCCCAGCCATGGAAGCTCCCAGAGTGATTATGGGCCTGCCGGTTTCAACCCTTGAACCTCGCATGATTGTTAAAGGAAAAATTGGAAAAGGAAGTGCTAAGTAGAGTTTGTTGAGCTTCTAGAGCAGTGTTTCTTAATCTCAGCCACCTTTAAGAGGGAGGGGTTTAAAACTCCCCACATTCCCCCCCCCCACTCCGC